CATACATTCTGACTAAATAAATAACTAAAACATGTACATGTACAAAAACACATTATATGTAAATATAATTGTAGAATATATTTATCATAATAATAATAATAATACATTACAATAATACATACATCAAGACTTGAATTTTTACATACCAATCACAAAAATATTACAATCAGAAGAACAAAAAACAAATAAGGGGGTGTATGCTGTATATCGTATTATTCATTGTGCCCATATTTTTATATCATTTTTCAAATAATAACAATAATAATGAATTGTGGGTTGCACATGATGTGATATATTGTTTTAGTGTTTTTAAGGGCTTGATTCCCATAATGTCCCCCCACCCCCAAGTCTCTAATATGGGTAGCATTCTTTCGACTGAGGAATGTGGTATTTGCAAATGATCTCAAAGAGCAGGTGCTTGGATTCATTTTTGCCCATTTTCTTATATGACTTATCTGACACCTCTAAAGCTGCACTTTACATTCTTATCAACTGGCATTGGATGATATCTATGCAGTTATAGAACCTGATATGTGAGATATGTGATAAAGAGTGCACACAGACGGCAATTAAAATGTTTCGTACAGATTTTAGTTGAGGAAGAGACGGAAGAGACAGAGAATGAATGAGCAGAATGAGAGAGAGACAGCTGGGACTAAAACCCATCAGCCAAAAAACAAACTGGGCCACACATCCCTCTCTGGGTGGTCTGGCTCCACTGCGCTCATAGAATGAGCGCTGACTCTCTTCCAGCGGATGCAACTACAAATCCTGCCAGGGACCACGGGTTTATAGCTACACCCCTCCAGCTCCTGACGCTCTCGCTGCGACTGAAAAATCCTCTGGCTAATGACATACAGGCCCGGACCTGGAGGGGGAGAAAGGGTTAAAGCAAGCCAATTGAGCGAATAATAAGTTCAATTTAGGAGATTGGAGGGCTGGTGTGGAATGAAAACCAGAGGACACCACTGCAAGCTGTTCTAGAGAGAAGGGGAACCATGGAAAAGAGGGAAGCCTGGCAGGTGGCCAGAGAGAGGACTCTGAGTTCTGCGGTGGCTTTAGTACTGAGGGCTACGTGCGGTCATGGGACTGATGGGGTTTCACGTAATTAAAGCAATTCTTATCTTTGCACAGAATAATAAATGATAACAAAAATTGTCATATATGCTGAGGCAATTCAGCAGAGTTAACGCCAGTGGAAGTTTATCACTTGTATGCAAATGTGCATTTCATAACCCACAATAAGCCCAAGAGGGCACACAATGGAATGAATGCAAAGAAGCCTGCAGCAATCAGGTTGTAAAATGCAATAAGGCGTGGAATTATTGATGCAGGAAACTTTTCCTCAGTGTAGTTCTTGTTTATTGTGTTGAAATGAAAGTCAGGTTTGTTTTCAGTTGGGACAAAATGGATATTTTGAATAATGTCCGATTCTAAGGAATTTACTTATGCAAGTCTGATTTATAGAGACACTTCAGATAGACATCGAAGCAATATGCTTGAATATTTTTCATTACTCACCAGATTGCAGTATCAAGTGATTTATTTATTCAAATTCTCCTAAATGGATAAGCACGGAATGCTACATTGTCATTTCCAGTAACATTTTTTCCTATTATGGTTTGTTTGATTACTTTAATGTACAAGTGAAACTGTATTTTGTTTCTTTCCACTCATTTGTCTCCACTTCTAATCCCTCTGCTCAATACAACATAGCATTGTGCATTAGTCACTGCTTTCTTTTAACTTCTGTGACCGTAATGTGGACTAAGGATAAAGTGATTTGACTTGCAGACCACCCAGTTTAGTCAACAGTCTGCAGGTACAACAAACCCACACGCAATAGTTCCATTTCCTTGAATGCACTTTATTTAAACAACAGCGTTTGAAAAACAAAATAAAAACAAAACAAAACATTGTCATACAAAGAAGCCAAATGATGCACATAAGTTAATTATCACTTAGTGATAATGACAATGCATTCGATTGACAAGGAAAGTACCAATTCAGGAGTGGCAATCCTGATTCACATTGTAGGCGTTTATGAGTACAAAAACGATGAAAACTGATGAAAATTATGAGATCGTCTAATTTTGCCTTCTCCAAAGCAAAGAACTGGAGCATTGTGCTTAGTTCAGAGGCACTGAATGATAAACAAAAGCATTAGCAAGACAAGCAAGAACATCTTTCCTCAGAAATGTATGGGGTATTGAAAATGATTATGATCCTGTTTTGTTTTGTTTGGGACATTCTTGTGTACCTGTAAATTTCACATCAAAGCGATAAATTATAAACACTTGGAGAGTCAAAGTTCAGGTCGTCCCAATCGAATTGTCTAAATAGTGCGTGTAAATGCAAGAAACTGGCCTTCAGTTTTTCCATTCAAAACTCTAAAAGTCAACCTAATGTGATAGTGGCTTTGTAGACGACCATATACCAAACAAATAAGTCAAACCAAGCCTTTGTCTTAGCCGCAACACTTCTCAGACATGCCTCTCCAGGAGTCTGCTGCCTCTCAAGGAACTAGCCTCTCCACAAGGAGACATGATCACCTCCACTTAACCTCGACACCACAGCATGGGAGACAATGATTACTTTCCCGCCTGGTGAACGAGAAAATGAGGGAACAGAGAGGATGGTAGAGAGAACTGAAAAGACAGAATGAAAATGAAAGACATGGATAATTGGGCAGTGACCTTGAACTAGTGCTCATCAGGGACTCTTGGAATCTTCTTTGTTTCTCCTCGCCGTCACTCTCGCCACTATCTCTGACAAAGACGGAGAGGAGGAGGTGATGGAGGAGAAGAAGTGCGTGGTTGTTCTCTCCTGCTGAGTGGTAAGCCACCCCCATGGTAGGTTAAACACCAGTCTAGGACACACAGACACATGCGTGCACATGCTTTCATCATTTATGAGGGTAATTTGGGAGGTGTATAGGGACGGACTCATCAGAAGTGCTTGTCTCCAGCTGATCTAGACTTGGCGGGGTGGCGGGATTTGGAGAAGATGCTCAGAGTGTAACGAAAGGGGCGGTGCAGGCCTCCAAAAGTGGCAGATGATTGACAGGCTTAAGTAAGGTGTAGATCCAGCAGGCAATCACTGCCATGTTATTAAAGACCTTTTGCAAAACCTGCAGGTATCCAAGATTTCATAGTGTAGATTGTGTATCTCGTTATTCAGTAGCTCTTTCCATTATCAAATGCAATTTCTAACATTTAAAGATGATACGTAAATGTAACTAACCTTAAAGGTTTTAAATGAGTGGTAAGAGGGTGAAATAACCTAAAAGACTGTAGATTGTTGTCGGCGATCATGAAGAAAAATCACAATCACAGATTTTTAGGTTGTTTACTGTAATTTAAGATTTTTAGGGGAGCAACGATGAAAGACTGGGAGGTACATCATGTCTGTATAATTGCCTATGATTGACCATAAAGTTCAGATTTGGTTAAATGCAGACCAGGGAGCAATGAAGCAAAGAGCAAGAGTGAAATTGAAATGATGCGATGATGCAGATGGGTGAATTGGACAGAAAATGGTTCGAAGAATTCAATCTCTCTGGAGAGGTGAACAGCAGAGAAGCACATCATAGTCTAAGGCTCTCTAGGTGTCCACAGTTACTAGGTATAAAGCACACCAGGCTCTTTTGCCACCTGCACATCTTATTAGAGAGCTCTTGTCCTTGATGCCTTTGTCTGGTCTTTACTTGAATATTTGTGAGAAATGCAGCATGGCCACAGTGAAATCATAACCAGGTAAAAATGATCGATGTACTAGAGAACAACTTCTCAAGGTTATATACAGTACCTTGTGATTGGAATGCCATCTTCTATACCTTCTGAGAAAAATATGTGCATCCCCATTTTTAACTAATGTTCTGCTGGAATGCATTAGTCATAGGCATGTGCAGGTGTGGACACTGTGCCTATGTAAAAGAGTCAGGATGCTCAAAGGACTTGCAAGAACCACATCAGCATTTTGCACATTAAAGATTCTAAATAAAACATTTCCATTTGTAGTAGACAAAACATGGACATAGACCACAATTATCACTTGTTTGAAACAAAAATAGTTTAAGGGTTAGCATAATGTTAACAACAACAATATTTTGTCTATTATCGGTGAAAGAGCAAGTAGCAGCTGATTCTCAAAAACAAATCAGAACCCTGGATCCAAGAGTTGCCACGGTGTCATGGATGATTTGCAACAGGTGGCCATGTTGCCTCAAGTTACGCTGATCAAAGTTTCAATCAGAATGCAGAGTTCATGCTTGCTGAGTTCTGATTGGCTCAAAAGAAGGATTGTCATCGTATGCGCAAAAAGATCATATAAATTCCAATGATTCCTCTTATTTCTATTGTTTTAATATTCAGCACCTCATCTGCAGAGTGCTGCTCTCTTTGGAAAAGTACATAATGCTGATAGAATTGGCAGTACATATCACATGATCGACTCAGTAACTTCAGTAACTGCTTCCAATTCGTTCCTCTCTGTTTTGGCAGTGTTTCTTTCTTTCACAATGTCTCTCATTACCAAAACATCTGCTGCAAGCCAAAAGCTGATATTAGACCATGAAAATCAAACTAAAAATAACAGCAAGAACAACCATAATAACAATAATAACAATAACAACAATAATAATTGAGGGTGAAGATAGCAATAAATAGTGCTGTGGTGTTGGGTGTGGGTAAGTGTGGTCAAATAAGGACATTGTGGGCATCAGTCAGTAAAAGAGAAAGCTGTGGGAGGTGACGGAAGAGAGAAGAACTACCGCACTTCCATGCAAGCACAGTTGCTGGAAATGCGTCGCTCTTCTCCACTAGGCCAGAGGCAGATGCAGTTAGACTGCACCCTCACCAGTGTCCTTTTGTCCATAGCAGTCAGTCCTCCCGCCAATTATGTTTTTATTCTCACTGTCTTTTAAGTGTAGAGAGGGCAAAACTGCAATGAAACCTACGGTCTAAACATATCTGTATAAAGCAAACCTTCAAGCACTGGACAGGAGTGACGGATTGGGATGTTGTGCACAGTCTGTATTGGGTATGCATGGGTGGTGGGGGTAAAGGAGTGATTTCTTGAACCGTGTGGGACTGCTTGGAATGACGCTTGTGGCTGGTTGTGGGAAGGATGGCGTGGTCTTCAAAAGTGCCACTGGGCTAACTGTGGACCTTTCAGCACACCACATGAGTTTATAGTAGGGTACCTAGGCTGGGCTGATGTGTACACCCAAGATCTCATCTGTACCTCCAACCCAACCGACAGCTTTAGCAGTCAAGCACGGCCCTCAGTTGGCGACCGCCAGAATGCCCCATCATGGAGGGGAAGATGAGGACAGCCACAGCCACCCACTAGGTTCCCTGATCGGACGGGAGTGAAGTTGTTGGTGTCCTATAGGAGATCATTGACTCATCTAAAGCACTGTCCCTGCCATTTTAACCCTGTAGAGATAAAGAGGGGGCATAGATAGTGGTATTTTGTGAGAGACCCCCTGCTCTCAGATTAGAAATGAAACACTCGGTGAAAGACTGGCCTTCTTGACATTCTTAGCATGCAAGTTTGAATACTTGTGACATCTTGGGGTTGAGGCAGCTATCTTGCCTTAATTTGATGATTTACATCTAGAAAACGAATGCTTCCCAGCCAACCAAATTCTTTCCTTGTAGCACGCCATAGGGATTGTTTACGTACCATGCCATCCCTGTAAGTAACTTGTGAGGTATGAGGCCAGATCACAACCCATCTCTCTACACCAGAACTTTACATGTCACCTCAATCAAAATGCAGATCTTGTCTGGTTTGGTTTGCCTTTTACAGGTCCTCAGAGGACACTGTGTCTTTGTCAGTAAGTTTCTAAGCTGTCTCTCCTCCACTACAGAATAGTTGTAAGTGCTCAATCTTTGCCTTTCCCCACCTACAGTATAGTCTTTGTTGAGACTGTTTTATCTCTGATATTCTGCTTGATCTCGGGGACTTGGGGATGAACCACATGGGGGCAGGGAGCTGGGTCTGGCTGATCCCAGAGGCAGGCCTTTGTCTTTATTCTCATCCTGGTCTGAAGAAACAGCTGGAGTTGAGACTGAGTTGGCTGCTCCGGCTGGTGCACTTTCATGCCCACTGTAGAGCTCCTCGTGGCCATCTTCACTGGATTCCGCTTCCTCCGAACTGGACAGCAGCTCCTCATCACGATATTCGGCTACGTCTACACCACCACCCTCAGATCCGAGCTCCTTCAGTCGACCATGATGCTTCACGTGATAACGCTGGTTCTGGAAGAATTTCACAATGGTGTGTTTGGGCAGATCTAATTGGGCTGAAAGGGTGTGGATTGCTTCCTGGTCAGGGTAGAGGCCCACATCTTGGATGAAGCTCTGTAAGATGCCTAGAGCCTCCAGAGATATCTTGGTGCGGGAGCGAGGTTTTTTTGTGACGTTGCTAACCCCTCCGCTGTTGCCTAAACCTGTGTTAGCCTGGGGGTTCTCTTCAGCTCCAGAACTGGGAACAGGTTCTTCTCGCATGGGAGAGTGGTCCTTCAGTGGCTGCATGGGCTGTCTGTGAAGTGCCTGGTGGGAAAGTTGAAGAGTTATTAGTTGGCCCAGAGTGATCTCTTACCTAAACTTATAAACAAGCGTCAGCAGTATGGAATAATTGAAAAACTGCTTAAAAGTTCAAAGTGTCCTTTCAATGAATGTCTCTTGGAGTTAATGTCCTCTGTGCACTTGAGTATGTGATCAACTCTGGTAAAAATCCAACCAGACTGCTCTGGGCTATGATTGTTTAACTATGTATATTGTACACATAATTCCACAAGATTAAATATCTTGTCATTGCATCATGTTTTGAGACCATCAAAGCGAATAACAGCATCTGAGCTGACACAACGACCGCATGAAATTCAACAGAGGAAGAAGCTGAACAAATACACACCAAAACCAAAATAAATTACATCAAAAGAATCTGTTATGAAGAGATGTGTTTTGAAACAACCATTTGAAGTATAGTGGCAAGTTGGTTTCATCTGTCATTTTGACAGGGATAAATTCCATCCCAGTTAGCACAGACTAGTGACTGCTAAATTTAACAGTAAAAGTAAAGCAAAAGCACAGACAGCAAGAAATGACACTTTTGACTTTGAGATGTAAGATTGTTTGCATATGCTATTGTCTTGTACAAACACAGTGTAATCATTAGCGTTTTCCAACAAGTTAGAAGACTAAAAGAGCTACAATATTGTTTTTACAGAGGTTCCCAGACCCTCCATATGTTTCTCAATAAATCTGCCATTTTCTTCTAGTGTGGGCGCCAAAACAGGGAAGGGGGACTGGGGGGCCAGAGTATAAAACAGTAGTAAAATAGGATTAGGAGTAAATATCAGATATTTAGTGAGAGGGAAAAAGAGGTATCTGGCGAGGTCTGATACAAGAGAAGGTGCAGTGTGTCACAGCTGAGCTATCGAAGTCTGTGGCGCTGTCCTGCCGAGTTTATGGCCAGGGTGGGGTGCCCAGTGCCTCCACACTGGAATGCTAAGCTATAAATCTGCGGTGCATTAAAATTAAAGGACCTACATAAAGATAATAGTCATGCGCCTCTCTCTCTGTCTCTCACTCTATTCCCTAAATAATAACAGGGTATTTTTTTAAATAATATTGAGGGCAGGCCAGACCATGAAATTGCTCCGATTTCACTTGTGGGGGCTGTTTTGGGCTGGCGCTTTACAGGAAGTGTGTAGGTTTGTTCTTTTTCTTCTCTGTTTCTCCATAATATATTACTTTCCATGCCTCAGAGAAACAAACAGAGGCCACAAAAAAGGACGAGAAAAAGAAATGTCCAAGAAGTTTGAAGATGGTGAATAATTAGATTGACCACAAGGCATAACAGCGCAAAATACCCATTAGCTTAGCTAGAGAGACCACACACACATTCACAAACTCATTCATCCTGTATGTGTTTGCTTGTGTATATTATTTTATGAAATTCTGGGAACAACTTAGGTACGTTCCAAAGACATATATACAGTAAACTCCAAAATGCACAACACAAACATTAAATAATGACGTTGCGCATTTACATACCATTGCTTTGGCATCCTATCAGATATTTTCAAATTCAGAGACAGAGTGAGTCCTCCAGCAGCCCATTCAGAGTAAAGAGTCTAAGATGCCTGTTCCTGCGCTCTAATGGTGGACGTTAATGAAGAGCTTTTCTGCCAAGCCAGAGGAGTGACTCCATTTCAAAACCCTGCTTTAGCTATAAAGCCAACCTCCGATTTCTTCCACCATCCAATTCATTCACCTACTCAGTTCTTAAACAATGTCTTCTCAACCACAGGAGTCACATTTGGACACAGGGCCATTTTTCCCTGCACGCCTTTCTTTTTTCAATATTCATCTCCATCGCTTCCTTCTTTTCAAATTCCAAGCTGGGACGGGTCTGTGAGTTCATTGCATTAAGAAAAAGTATATTTTTTCCCCTTTAAACACAAATCAAGGCAAATTATGGTGAAGTAGTATGAAAGAATTATAGAACATAAAAAATTCAGTTGATTCTTAATGAGGACCGGCCCTTGTGGGGACAGAGGCAGGATTAAGGGGGGGCTGTGTTGCCACTGGAGACGCCATTAACAGGCAGATAAATATGTAATGATGAGAAAGACACTTTCCTGTTGGTTTGCTTGTGCATGACTTCACCTTCTCCAATTATCATGTGCATCATAATTTTTCTTCGCCACACTGCAATACCTCAGGAATGGGTGAGTCATGTATGTGTGTGTGTGTGTCTTCATATTTGTTTCAGAATGTGTAGTTTAGGCAATCCACAAAATTAAAAGAAATTTACTCATGCATTACTCACTATTCCTAGTATGGAAGCCTGTTACTGCCTCAGGGAAAAAAAGTTCATTTAATTTTATCTCAAAATTGAAATTTTTAGTAAATGTGACATCTCACAGTGTAACTTTAAATTGCACGATTGTGACTTTATTTTTTTATATTTTTAAACTTTATCTTACAATTATTGTTCTACTTTTACCCCAGTACTCAATCGGGGTCCCAATCCACATGGCAGGGTCTAGAGGGCACTCCAGTGTACACTGCAGCATCCAATTTAGCAAAAACAAAGGAGAAATTATTCATAAGAAATGTCTTGCCAAATGAGCAAAGGCAGGCACTTAAGACCATACACACGCATTGCAGAAACAGTGTGAAGACGACGTGGGACCGGGTCAGCCATCTAGAGTGCGTTAGTGTGAGTGTATCCCTAAGGTAGGGCGAGCTGCACCCAGGGACTCACATGGACATGTCATGGAGTGGTTAAAACCATTAGGATAAAAAATAAATAAAAAAATTACTAAAAAATTACACACAGCGGTGGCATGATTCATGATTTTAAAATAGGATCCGGAAATGGGGGGGCTGCAAAGGGTGCAAGGTAGTCCGCAAATGTCTCCCCCCCCCCTAAAAAAAACTTAAAGAATTTTTTTTACAAAATCAAACATTCTCTATAAAACTGCTTTAGAACAATATTTATGCTCATGATTTATGCTCTATATAAATAAACATACATTTGTCTTCAGATCTAAATCTGTTCTAAATTGGTAATAACAAGACTTAATACAAGATTTTGCTTTATTTTTTGACATGTCAAAGGTACAGGACTTGTGCTGGTTTTTTGAGTCACGTTTGATGATCTTATGAGTGTCAAATAAAACATCAGTGAATTATGTTGGTCACACTGAGGTGGTATCAGCTTAAAAAAATTGTTTACATGTATGTGCTGCATGTGCTCATTAATTAACATGCTCATGTCTGCTTAAGCAGCTGGGACACATGTGCTGTGGTGGCAGGCAGGCTGGAGCCGAGGGGGCTGCTGGGTATTTTGATTTGAGGAGGGTCCCTCATTACTACTACTACTACTAAAAAGAAAAAGAGAAAAAAACAACAACAACAAAAACACAAGGACACAAATGCACAAACAACCACATACATGCTCATGTATGGCATTTTCATGTTGACACAGCACAATATCTTGTAATTTATGTATTTTATTATTTTTAATTATGTTAGACATGTTATAGTATATCATATTTAATATAATATTTATGCAATGTATTTGTATTTATATAATATTTGATATATTTAATATTACATTTATATTATTTTAATATTATAACTAATAAATACAACAATGCTATATATGTGCTCAATATGATATGTACAGAATCAAGGTGTATAAATAGAAGAATTCTTTTAATTTTTTATGTAATATATATTCACTGTCAATAAAAGTCTCAAAAATCACCAAAATATTACATCACATATAAAACCCATACAATTAAAAAGTAAAATGTTATGTTATATTTATATTATAATGTAATATTTGAATATAACATAATTTTGTTTCAATTAAATATAACAATATGAATATGAATACAACAATGCTATATATGTGCCCTTTATGATATATACATAATAAAATAAATAAACAACAGAAAATTTTACATAATTATTCTTTTAGCAACATGTTGCTTTAGTAAATGCACTGACTATCCTCAACATATGTTTTTATGATAAATGTTGTGCAAGAGTTCATGGTCAAATCCAGTGTAGAGTTACTAAAGAGACTTACTGTAGTGAATGTGAGTCATTACGAGTGTGTGTGTATGTGCATATATGTGTGTCTGTGTGTGTGTTCCTTCTCTTCCCGTAATTATTAATATCAGGGCTGTGGTGGCACTGTCTGTCAGGGTGTGTCCTAATGGGGCATTTCCTTCTGCGCCCAAAACACATAAATTAGTATATTTACACACACACACACACACATGCTGCCAACAGACTGTTTATTCCACTGACATAAAAGAGAAAGCGAGCAAGAGAGAAAGAGACGTAAAGGGCTAAGACAGTAACAGAGAGCCACTCTGTCTCCATTTGTTAGTACTTAATCTTAATACGGCTGCTCAACTTAAGTTAATAAATGTTAATAAACAGCAATCATTGTGAGTGAATTAAACTGCAATGCTTTACTGGCAGGGTGAGAAAGAAGAGTAAGTTAAAAGAAGGTGGAAAGCATTGATCCAAGTGTTTGTAGATTTACGTGTATGCCGTTTGTGTGTGCATGTATTTACATATCAGTAGTAGTGTGTAGATGTGTGTGTGTGTGTGTATACTGTGTATGAATGCTTGCCTATGGTAATACTGGAAAAGTGTGTGTCCACAGTCTTTACTATAATGACCCTGGCTGGCATAGGGGAAAGTCCATTTAATCAGTAGCGTGTTATTTGGAATTCTGTGTGCGTGTGACATTAAAGAGGTTGGGGTGTGCAGGGTTATTAGATGTTGGCAGGAATGCTGCATACATGATGCTGATATTAAAACTGAAGCCTCAAAGAAGTGTACACAATGAACACATTTATATGATCTAAAGAGAATTATGCTTAAAACATTCACGCAGAACTTACCTCTTAGAATTAAACAGATCTTTTTTAATGGATAAAACCAGAAATTATTAAAAATAAAATAGATAAATGACATTTTACTGGGCCATTCTTGATCAGGATCAACTTTCTTTGTATTTTCCAGGGCCTTATTTTGACGCTGTGCCTTTAAAGGGGTAGTTCACCCAAAAATGAAAATTCTGTCATCATTTACTCACCCTCCACTTGTACCAAACCTGTATGAGTTTCTTTCTTCTGTTGAATACAAAAGAAGGTATTTTGAAGAATGTTGGTGACCAAACAGTTGACGGTAGCCATTGACTTCCATTGTATTATTTTTTTTTCCATATTATGGATGTCAATGGCTTCCATCAACTGTTTGGGCACCAATATTCTTCAAAATATCTATTGTATTCAACAGAAGAAAGAAACTCATACAGGTTGTTCCAACAAACTCTATGCAAATCCTGCTTTACACTTTGTTAGAATCACAAAATATTCTGAAATATTAGGCTGCGATTGTTATAAATGAATTTTCTGAACACTGGTTTTGACATAAATGTGGTCTGTTGTGTTCATTTATTCATCTGCCTTCTAAGTTATAGAAAGTAAAAATGAATATTTAATAATTGGTCTTTCTGGACTGGGAGGAATCAAGGAACATTTAATTTCCCTTAATATGACCATCCTACACTGCAAACATCACATTAAATTGCTTTCTTTCGCCACACATATTTGTATACAATATGAAGTATATGCAATTTGAATAGTTTCATAAACTCACCTGAGGATCAGTGGGCAAGTGTAGTACAGTGTGCAGCCGTTCACTGTGGTGATGGCGGGACTCTTCCTCATACACCAGATCCCTGTCTGCCTGTGGAAGGCTCAGAAACCTCCGGATAGTACACAGGTTCTCCCAGAGAGTCCTGTTCTCAGGGCTGGGACTCTCTTTCCAGCGAAGCAGCTCGCATAGCCATCCCTTGTAGAATGGATGAGGGTTCATTACACATTTCGATTTGGTGAAGGAATTTTTCCAACAATATCAGTAAATAATAACAACATGCATCTTGCCTTCTTAGTGGATTACCCACTCAAGCACCACTACAGAGTCTTTCTTCTCTTTTTGGGGCATTTATGTCACTTTAACAGGGGATATTAAAAAAAGGTAAGGCAATGATCGGCAGAATGGGATGTGAAACCTTGAATGTTTATTTTATGACTGTAAAGTTTACTTTACAGTAAACAACTAGCACCACAAAGCATCACAAGTGCACTGAGAGAGCGGAGAGTGTGTGAAAGAGAGAGTGAAATGGTGGGAGATTAGGAAGATTTGATTATCTCTGCTAGACTGGGCCAGTCTTTGACACCAGCTGTTGTGTGCAGCCAACCACTTCCAGCACACATTGTTAATGACCTGAGCATCTCTCTCTCTCTTTCCTTCTCCCCCAGCTCCTCCTGGCCAGCTGCAGCAGATGGGCGCGTTCAGCCGTGACCCCCCCACCCGACCCCAGACCTGTGAGACCTAACCGCATCTGTCTCACACACACACACACACACACACACACACACACACACATTCATATATACACACACCAGCAGAGCAGCTCTTTGCTGACACATCTCATACACGCAAACATGCGAAGACGCCCCTAACACATGCCTCTAGATGAGGTGGCCGCACCTGCAAAGCCATGCCGCAATAACGCAGAGCTCCTCAGTAAAGCAAGCAGCAGAGACTGAAGCTCTCTCAGGCTATTACATGGTAAGAATTAGGCGCAGCTGGGAGTGGGATCATATTTGACTAAATCAATTAGCCCTCTTTCATCTAAATGAGACAGAGACAAACAAATGGTCCAAAAGCTTTTTAAAAAATTCTTTATCAAAACTCTGAAATTAATGCCATGCTTTTCCAGTTTGTGTTAATTAATGGGATTGTTGTTGTCCTTTTGCACTAACACAGTGTGGCCAGGGTCCAAAATTATTCTTTTTTCCTATACCTGTCAATGGCAGGTGAATTGGGAAATTTTACCATCCATATACACATATGGAAAAGAAAAGGGTGAAAAGGTTTCTCTTATTGAAAAAGAAAAGGGTGCCAAAAATGTATTATTTAACAGAAACTGAAATTGCTTCAAACATTGCTACAATTGCTAAGAAAGTCCTTTTTATTTGCCTATTCAGCATTTGCCAAGTGTTAATTTTGGACTCTGGATAACTTTGGAATACGCTTAAAGCTTATAAAATATTTCAAAAACCAAAAGTAGATTACTGTGATGTGCTTTTTATAACTGCTACTATGACTGTATACTTCAGTTAGAAAATGTTTGAGTTTTTCAAGGCCTCAAATCATGACTATTACACTTCTGTGATGTATACTTTCAGTCACAATATTATGCATTCTTTAAATAATTGTCTGGAAACAAGTGTCAATGTAAAAGGTATGAAGAAAGAAATCAGATCAATCTATGGATCACTGAATGCACGTCTGTATCACAACATAAGCCATGACTCATGGGATGGGAGAGATTGACAAAGGCATTGAAAAAGAGTGAGATCTTTTGACAGGATCTGGAATTGTAAGTCAGAGATGAATAAATGGAAGGCATTTATCAGGCTATCTGTTGATGTTGATGTTTTTGTTTATCAACTGCAGAGACGCGCCAGAATCAGATATAACAGTCTGCACATACGGACACCGTTACTTCCCCTACACTGACTGAGGAAAGAATATGTAAGCTAAGTGTAATCTTAACATCTTTTCAGAATAAAATAAATCACGATATGTTTAAATATCCTATCCCTTAATATTTCCTGCACCTAAAAATATTTTTAATTTAAAAGTATTTAATTTTTTTAATAATAAAAGGGTCTCTAAGCCATAAAAGCCATTTAAGCTGAAAAACCTGAAAGCATTACACATGAACAACCTTATTTTTAACAGGCTGTGTATACAGTACTTCTTAGATGCATTAAAAATTTTATTAACAATTATCATATGAAAATACCAAGTTATTTATATTCTCCTGTACATTGAAATAAAATGCAAACCCCGTATGCAAAATGTACTTGAAAAGTAGAAGACAAAATTATTAGGTTTTTCTGTGTATTTTCAGTGTAAAATAGTTAACATAGATTAGGCTAGTTTAGAATTTTTATTTTTGTAGTTATGTTAGGATGTTGAAAGGATGGAAACATGTCCGGATTATTAACCAAAATAAAAAAATAAATTCTTACTTGGCTCTTGTTGGCTGCCACCTTGGCGAAAAGTGCCTGAGACACTTTTGCCCGTTTCATCTCCTGCTGGATTTCATCATAAATGGCTGAGGTGATGCTAACCAGCGGCTCCATTTTCAGAGGAAGGTCAGGGTTAGGACCAGAAATTTTGGACTGTGTGGGTCCAGTGGTCAAAGGTAAAAGCAACAAAGACATATTGGTTAGATAAATATTCATAATTGCTAGAGAAAGTACAATATGAGATCATATTCATGGATGACATTTTAGACCCTTGTTTGTACCTGCAATGTACTGAGATTTTAGCAGATAAATCATTAAAGCATCCTGTTAGTAAACTCTTTGTAGTACGTGTCTGAAGTATGGTGTATTGATTTTAGAGTGGTGTGTTTTCTTATTCAATGTTTGAAGTTGCCCTGCAGGCACAGGCAAGTAATCTCACATTCCCCAGTAAAAACGATTGTGAGATAAACATATACAGACATAATAGTAATGATAATACACAACCACATTCCCTAAGACCAAAGAATGAGAACTTTGTTCTCATATCAGAAAGATTTTTATTATCTGCATGGGTTCATTCACAATGGTCTTGAGGTTGAAAGCAGCCGTATTCATATGATTCCTACAAGCATTCTAGAAAGTCCACGCACCAGTTTCCAGGTCATTTAATATAAACATGCCATAACAAGAGCAGATCCATGCTTTTCTGCTTTTGTCATTTTAGAGAATCAAGAGCAAGAACTTGTGGACTCGACGTTTTAATGGGTGTGCACCATTTAATCTCAAACATGTACAAACATGTATATGGTTGTAAATCTTCAATATTAACATTATAAATTTGACCTTCTGTCATAGCTTGGCTTTTATTTGCAAAATGGGAAAAGTTTTGTGCGTACAGTTGATCACTACAGATCTTGGAGGTCTCGGATGAGGTACACTCTATGAGGAAATGAAGTGAGTGTTGATGTAATCCTCACCGAGATTGTGATTTTGGTCTTATTCTTCCAAATAGATGCCCATGCGTCAGGGGTTAACTGTTCATCGATGCTGCGCTCCCACACTTTCTGCATTGGGAGGTATGGTGTGAAGTTAGCAATAAGAAGGTAGCAATCAGATTTTAGCTTTGACCCTTAGAGGGCACTGTCTTGAAAGGCAGTGTGATTGTTTTAGTGAGTAATCCGTATTATTGTTGTCAGTGCCAATATGTATTAATATTCAAAGAGATATCATCATACAAGAATAATAGCATAACGTTTTAGCTAAAGATGTCATAGAAGCTACACATTTGACCTTAGTTGTCTGGCTTTAGGCTGGAAGACAGTACATGACTTTTACCTAGATATTTTGCCCCAGTTTCACAATCTCAAGAGGAGTCAATGCTAATGCCAATTTTAGAATGCATTGTTTTCATTTGTCATGCATCTCCTATCAGAGGCGCATGTCTCTGCGTGAGTTTGTTGGGTTCAGAATGACTTGAAAGTCTGGTGGTGTTTGATCCTCAGTTGTTTAGTGTATGTACCTATTTACAAAGTCAGCAAGTGTGTGATGACTAGTGTTTTAAAATATGTTCAGATTTTAAAAGTCATGTAGTGTATTCCAGCCTTTACTAAACTTCAGTGTTTTTTTTTTACTAAAGTTCTTTCATTTTTTTTAAGCTTTATAACAGCCTGATACAAAGTGTAAGCCAAACAAAACAAGTAAACAGATCACATGAATCCAGACAGAAACAAAAGCAATCTCATAGGCCTACAGATAAACAATTCAGAATCAGACACAACACAAGCTTTCAGGTATTTCTACACCCAGTCAAACATACAAACACAGACGCAACAGGGGAAAAGAGATGTGTAGGGGGCTGAACCTAGTCAAGGGAGGGAAAGTGGGGTACCTGAGAAAGGCGGGCGCCACCAGGGCTGGGGTTTGTGCTTGGGGGCAGACTCACAGGGGGATTCATGCTGCGCTCTCGCTCTTCCTGGTAAATTCGGTCCCTCTCACTCTCATGCAAGTTCAGGAAGTTCTGCATTGCTTTGAGGTTCACTAGCAAGGACTGAGAGGCTGAGCGTGGGTCCTCCTCTTTTCGCAAGATCTCCGATAACAGGCCCTGGTGTACACACATAAACACACACGTAAGCACAGAGGAAGCGATTTGTGGAAGGCTCACTTTCTTGCAACACATCTATCCTGTTACTTCACCTGCACCATGTAAGTCTCCACCCACTCTTTAACTGACTGTGCACTATGTTGGATGTAATTGGACATAATTTAGACCTGTAGTGACTCTGTGAATTCACCAGGTGTGTTTGCTGCTGAGAGGGTGTATGAGAGGATCCAACTTCTGGATACCAGAGTAATCACGCTGACATGCTTAAAGAGACTCACAGACCTGAAACATCTGACAGAACGGCATTGACATGTTCATTATTCTCTTTTGTTTAGTTCAGTGCCAAATTAAACTTGTTTAGTTCTGATTTGTAAATGGTCTGATTATTATATTTGGTCTGTGTTTGTGATAGTTACTAGGGCTTCGGCGATAAATCTTATAGATATTATGTTAGCTTGTTGCTGACATTCGAAATACTTCTCAACATATATGTACTTTGTATTTGGTCTTTAAAAAATCTTTAGTTTGTTTAAAAAAATTATGCATTGTAATTGTATGACAAATTGAACTGAGTAATCTTTAAATTCAGTATGAAATGTAAATTCACCCTGTCTATTTCTCAATGCATGCTTTATTGAACAATTATTAAACAATTCATCCATGTATGTTTTATTAAAAAAAAACTTTTGATTGATATCGGATGGAGCTTAATGCAAGCTTGCATCAAGCTCCATGCAATCAACAACAAACGGAAAGAACCAACATTTTTCTTTTCTTTTTTGATTTCACTTGGATGTAAGTCACAATAAAGTAGAAAAGATCTGTCACTATTCCCGTTATATGACCATTTTAAATGGTATTACAAATTCAGAATAAATTCAGAAAAATTACTATAAAATTGAAAACTACGTTTAATAATTCATAAAAAAATAAAATAAATAATTTTCAATTTTTTTTTAAACACAGTTTGGTAAATGGTAACGCAAGTACATTTGCTTTGGCATTAAGTGAACTAACTTCACACTTACCAAAGTTACCTTACCTTATGTTATACTGTTGCGAGCATTTTTTTTAGGTGTAACTTACAGAAACTTAATGGCCAAATAAAAAGTGCAATAAATCATTGCAATATTCCCAGTATTACATCATTTACAAATATCATTAAAATACATCATGAATATTCAATATATCACCACGCCCTAGCGACTGGTATGTTCTGAAGAGTCTCTTTGCTACTATACATGGTGTAGTGTCTCACTCCTTTCTCAAAGTTTTTCCTTGAACCTTTGAACCTTTGAGTGAATAACATATTCTACACCATGCAGTCTGTACTGTACCTGTGTACGGTTGAAGGCAACTCGAGCGAACACTGCCTGTGAGACACTGGCTCTTTTCAGCTCATCTCGCACCTGCTGGTAGATATCAAAGGAGACTTCCGCAGCCGAGGGGTTGGACCCGGGCTCTCCAGGACCACCGGACTTGCTAGGCCGTGGAATGGGTGGGTGATTGAGAAACTGCTGGTTAAGAGCCTGTGGGTGCTGATGCAGGAGGCGGCTGACGGCCAGCTGCTGGTTGATAAGATGAGCCATGGCTAACTGCTGCCTCACCAGCTGTGGACTAAGCTGGGGTGAGAGGAGTCCTCCGGGTGCCAAAAGAGGTTGCAGGGAGGCTGGTGGAAGTGGAGGAGGCACCTGAGCTCTTAGCGGAGGACTGTGATGGAGCTGTCCATGAGATGATGGAGCTTGAGGCTGCCCTTGAGATGGAGGCTGAGACTGGGCTGAATTCTGATGTTCTCCAGAGCCGCCTTTCACCAGAGAGCCGCCACTGTTCAATGGACCGAGCTGCGCCAGACCAGTCAGGTGAGGGGGCGGACGCTGGGCTAATACACAGAAGTCAGTGAGACTGTCCCTTTCAACTGCGGAGGGATGGAGATGTGTATGAGGCACTAGAACAAACTCTCTAGTGTTCTAGTTGACAAATCAAAGACAGTCCTTTACCCAAATAAACATCACAATGTAGATGCCTACCCTTGATTTCCGAGCTCTCCCGTCCTTGCCACAAATAGTCCCCTGAAACAAACACAAGGAACTGGTAAATGGCAACACATTGAAAACAATAATGTTCTTTCATGAATAGAAAGTTTTACAACTTTGGTTTACAACTGTGTGACTGACACATAAGTCAACCAATGGGGTCTCTCTGCACTGGAACACACATCTGGCAATGCGGGCTGTGTGTTTAGCTCTGGGAGGCAAGGAGCAGAACTAATGGAGGAGGCTCGGTGTAACTCAACACCACTTACTCTGTCAGCGTGCCGAGGATCGCTTTATTCTTTGTTGGCGCTCGCTCTCTCACTGCACTTGGGGTTTAGCCCCCACTTTGATCTGTCCTGCTGTGTAATTATTTCACTTTTTGAAGGGGCAACGAGAGGAGGAAAATTGTCACAGGCATTTGGGTGCTAAGAGGCTTAAATAGTGGAGCTGTGGGACGACTCCTTGCAGAACCTGCCACTGGGAGACCCCCTGCAGCATTTTTGGGAAAGGAACAGTGGTTTCTATTAGGCCGCGAGGAGGCTTAAGTTACCCCATCCCATGTAAGAGGAGTCATTAAGAGATAATGCATAAAACGTAGTACAAAGCTCAAGACTTGCTCAGAAACAACACATTCTCTGCATCCGAATATGCCTAGTTGCCTGCTATATAGTAGATGAAAAAACTGCATGTAAAAAGAGCAGTATGTCTGAATTCACAGTATTCATAAAACGGCTGATGACCTACTTCTGAAGTGCATTCAGTGGACACTTTACTATCCCTTAAGGCCACAGGAAAAGAGTTGGCAGTCGCAGTGAAGCGACACAACTTATGCCAAAAGTCACATGACACACATTCATGCTGTATAGAACAAGTTCTTCATCAAATGTAATACCTACTCAGGACAGTATGTGAGTTTGATCACAGCTATGCTTTCCTGACCAGACTACTGTGATAATTTCGGGTTAGCATTTTAGTCTTTTTTCCACTTGACTTAAGATGGCACCAAATAACTGATGAAGAATTGATTTGAGCTAGATTTTGGTTGGACAGAGTACAAATACAACCAAAAAGACATCAGTACAAGCCTTACCTTTAATTTTTTTGTACTTCTTGTACCAGCGACCAAACTCTTGGCACTTGGCAGTTGAGACGTTAGCATAGTAGGAACTATTCACTATCGAGGAGATCATACTCTGGAAAAAGTCAAAGAAACAAGAGAGGTCAATAAAAAGGAAAAAATGGGAACAACGACGGAGGATAACGGAAATAAACACACATGGTCAAGATCTTAAAATTGCAATGATAAATGGTCTATAAAACACATTACTGTGGAAAGCCACCCAAGCAAGGCAGATAGCGAATGCCACGACAAGCTTCGAGCCGCAGTGACACAAGTAGAGACAAAGAGCCACACACATATGCAAACAATTGATATGAGGATCAACACCCACACAGAGTTCCACTTAAACACAGCATGCACAGATACATAAATCTCCAAGATTGCTCGCGTACTTGGAAATGAGCACAGCAAGCATCGCGAATGCATACCCACATAGATACACACACACGCATACTCTCTCTCATGGTGAAGTAATTTCTGGGTTTTAGAAATGGCCCATGAATGTGGGGAATTTCTGAGTAAATTTCAAATTGATGAATGAAACACGCTAAGACAATTTAGGCTACATTAACCATGCACTGACGCCATTGATTGGAACATCTGCAAGCATAATGCAATACTGAGCCCAACATTTTCATTTATGTTATACTGCTAAGTATTATGTTGTTAGTTTTGGAAGAGTTGTACCAGCAGTACATGTTTTACTTATCATCTTAAATGTCAAATCTATGTGTGTTGGATTTAAAAAAATCTTAGTGGGTAGCGGCTGTACCTGGGAGAGTGGACATTCTTTGGCCAGTGTGCTCTGGTTCATCTCTTTGAGCAGTTCTTTGAGGGCGCTGCGTACTGTAGCGTGATTCCACTGCTCTGATGGAAGGTCCTCCAGTTTAGCAAAGCTGTAAATCCCAAATCCCTCCATTACTCTACAGTAACTTCCAGTAATCTTCATTTCCTAATCAATAAACCCTGCAGCAGGCCAGTTCAACAATTATATCACCATGGAAACACAGGGAAACAAACCTGGATGGTACACGACTACACAAAGACTACAATCTTCTCATTTGGACCCTATGTTTATCTCCTCAGCATTCAAGAGTAAACTGCAATCATTGGGCATGAAAGAGCTCATTGAGAAGTGCAGATAAAAAGTTTAGCCTGGCTCTTATGTATGCACAGGGCTTTAGAGGCTTGCTGAACTCTCTATCATTGACATAAGCAAAATAATCCCTTAATTATCTCGTCACTTGTAATGGAGCAAAATTGATAGAAAATGGAAACTTTTGTATGTATTTCCTCAATGCAAACATCAATATAATAAATATTATTATTAGTTGTTATTATTATTTAATATTATTTTATGATGTATTACAAAATATAAAAATCAATAATAATTTATTAATAAATACATTTTTGATATAATTAACCTATATGTTATTTTCCCATAGTTTGTAGACAGAGGACACAATATTTATCAATTAGATTTTTAAAAATGGAAATGATTCACTTAACATCACAAACACTATGCCTATCAGCAAAGAATAAATAAAAGTAAATTAAATTAAATAAATACAAATAAAAACATAAAACATATATGTAAATAAACTTAAATAATGTACTTTACACTTCACTCTTAAATAAATTAATTTTTCAATTAGAAGGGCTTTACAACCTGATACCACAAGATAACCTGTTCAAAATCTAACATTTATTTGTTTGTTTGTTTGTTTATTTATTTATTTATTCATTCATTCATAAATGATAATAATCTGTTTTTGTTTGTGCTGGTTATTTAAAACTTATAAGTCCAAAAAATTGGACTTATAATTATTTTATTTAAGTAATAATAATATTATTTGTTGTTGTTAAAAATATAAATATATGTTTTATATTATATATTATTTAGCTATTTAAAATGACCACTATAAAGCATATAAACCATAAAGGTTATTGATATGCAGAGAATTCTCTTCTGAACCAAGACACTACTGAAGAACCTTCATTTTTGAGAATGCTCTGTGGTCTTTTACCTCTGTATCTGGATGCGTAGCGTGACCATGTGGTAAACGTCCAGCAACATATCAGCAACCGTTGCCTCTGGAGCATCTGTCAGGTAATGGATGGGCAGGGGGTTCCAGCGGCCCACCTTAATGATGCCTGTGAAAAGGAAGCAGAGAGAGGGGGAGTCGATTAACCCCACTTGATCTCATTGTGCCACAAATTTGTGTAGCATATTTCCATGACATCATCAGAGATGGCCTCATGTCAATGATGGCTGTAATGAAATCTCAATAAAAGAATAAGTTAGGAGGGGCTCCACTCTATTGAGTAGGCAGCTCCACCAAACCTGGCACATTACATCACCACACCAGCACCCACTTACAGTAAAAATCAACATTAGAGGGCACACAAACATAATGATTGAAAGACAGTGAGACAAGAACATTGTGTGATTGGAAAGAGGGGACTGAGGTAGGTGGCAGACCTACGTAATTTACAGCATATGGCGAAATACATAATTATACACATAGTTCTTAAGTGACAAGGAAGTCTAGTGGGAAATGATTCATATATTTATCATTTAAGAAATTATTTACACTACCTGTGGGTTATTGCATCAAACATTTTGGAAATCATACATTTTGTTTTTCTTACTACTCATTTTCTATGGAGCTTCATCTTGTGCTATAAAAGCAGACAGCAAGGAACAATAGCACCAATGATAAGGCTTTATCTATTAAATACTTATCAGGTCAGGAAGAAGCACCTAACACACATACTGAGGGCCGCACCAATAACTGCGGGCCGAAGGGACGCCTGTGGCTCTTTTACAGCCAAGGAATATATATAGAAAGCAGGCGCTCGTCTAGCACATCGCTGCCTCTGACAATTACGTCCACCCCCCTCCATTAATGGGCTGTCATAAACACAGGTCAATGATTGTATGATTAACCCAAATTGACTGTTATAAATGCCTCTCGTTGTGCAAAGGAAGAGACGAGCATTTATGGCTGAGGAGTAATCTGTAATTGGGGTGTCACTGTGAGACAAAGCCATATTTCTGAACGAAGCCGTCCGATTGTTTTGTAAATACTCCAGGTAACTAAGGCCGTCCCGCACTGACTCGGGTGAAGGGGTGTGCATTGTTTCCAATTTAAAAGGGATAGTTCACCCAAATATCACAAGTCTGCCTTCATTTACTCATGTCATTCCAAATCGTGACCTTTTTTCTTCTGCAGAACATAAAAGCAGTAGAAATTTTAATGTTAAAAGAATGTAAAAATGTTACAGCAAAAACCTGTAAACTGGTTAACAGTAAATTCTCTTCTTATATATGCTGAAAAAACTGTTGTAGATCTATCAGGACACTTAATTTAATTTTACAAAGTACACTTTTCATTTTAGGGTGAACTATCTCTTTAAAGTTGTGTGGTGGTATTTCCTTTAAATATGCTGAATCTGAATAAGCTTACAGATCAGGATAAAAGCTAAGCAGCAGTGGCATCCACTGAGGGTGCCATAATTTTTTTCCCCCCAAGAACCACACTGTGCTATTAAAAATGAATTAGCTGAATCTATTATGCCCTCCGCTCTATTTATTTCCAGATGTCGCAATCATTGTCAAGATGCGCCGTACATGTAAACCAGACCCTGTGCTCTTTGCATTATTAACTGTTTTCCAAACACTGCACACGTCCGTAAACACTTTTCAACACACACTGCTCGTGTGCATGTGCAGTGGATGTACATCCCTTGCGCAAATGTATATATTCAACACATCCAACAACAGGAAGCGAACTTGACCAAAAACGAAGGGTGTGCAATGAAGAGATATACAAAACACAAACTCTCACACAAAAGTATTTCCCATGGTCTTAGGAGGGACTGACTGAAGCTGTGAAAACTAAACAATGCTAATCACATTACTATCCACTAAATGAGACCCAGACGCTGCCCAGCTTCCCTCTCTCGCTCTCCTTCTCTCTCTTTTGTCTTTTTTTGTGCTTTAGGCTGTTTGTGTCATCTAAAGAGCTCCAGCTGCTCAATCACACACAGAAATGCCGATGGATCACTTACCTCCATCCAAACACTGTACTGCCATGCCACTGCCGCCCCTAAAGCCTGATTGAATGAGTTAGTTTTGGACAGAATCTGCTTTTGCAAATTAGCAAGGGCTCCATTGTTTCTCTCAGTTCAGTGTTTGTGTTTTGACTAGAGAGAAGATAACAAGACATTCTGTGTGACCCGTTCCACTGTTTTCTTCCGTTATTGGCTGATTGTGGGAGCTTATCAGTGTCAGAATCTAAACAAGGCCAGTGTGTTTTTGCGGAGCCTTAGGCCCCTAGATTATCAACATGGGCCTCATTGGTTTATAAAATAGTCTTAATATAAAATATTAGACAGAGCCACTGCAATGTTGTTTCTTTTAAGTACATCATACTGTATATTATTGCGTGCTTCTGTCTAACAGATTCAGTGTAAATAAATTACAATTGCAAATAAAGAATAGCGTTGCAAAATTAGTTCAAGAAATATGGTACAAAAATAAAGTTAATTAATTGAGGAAGAACTATGTAAAAAAAATGGATAAAGAACAAGAAAAGAATGCAAAAAAAAAACAGAAATATGGTACAAACAACAAAAAAAAGGATAAAAAAACTAAAATTAGATAGGTCCTATAAATATATAAAAACGCCTCAATATATAAATATAAAATAAATATATAAATAATAATTATAGACAAAAATATATTTAATAGCTATATACAAAGTAGATTTATCAAGATTTGTCCTACTTCTTGTATTGTTCTTCTCATCAACAGTGCCTGAATTTCTTCCCCATATTATTCTTGAGAAAGCATGACAAAAATGATGCTTTAACAGATGCTGTTTTTGCCATGCAAATGTGCTTTAAGCATTAAACGGTAAGCTAAAACAGCCTCAGTGTATGATTTTTTTTTTTCATTTTCTTTTTTGTCAAATGTAAGCAAACTGTCAGGTCTTTGCTACTTCAAGAGAATTTAATGATTATATGGGGAAAGGTCTAGGTTTGTCACTTAATTGCTTAATTATAATTTATTTATTATAAATTATTTTGTGCACCCCCCAGACAACCACTACAAGAGAGGCCGACCCTGCTGGTGACCCTTGAAACTACAGTGAACTTCTATCCTCTGATATACAGGCCTCTTGTCTTTGTTCAAAAGGTATTTGTGGAGATGTATTCTCCAGACAGTGAGTTAAAGGGGAGAGTTAAGTCAGACAGATGAAGACAATTTGTGTGATTGTGCCACGCCCCCCCCTTTTTAAATCTGTCTTCCTTTTTCAAGTCTGTGTTTATATTACTGGTTTTGCTTTGATTTTTGAGGGACATTGCTGTTTTGTCTCATTGTGCAATGCTGAATGTATGCCCACCGCAGACTTCTTGAGTATTCCCACTTTGAGCAGTAGCATCAATTAAGACTGAACTGAGATGCTATTAATGCACTTTAAGTTAAGCAGTGATTCATTCAATTGCTGTAAGAGTTGAATGTCAGCGAGGTTACCCAATTCACATGTTCAGTGTTAGAGAGCTCACTGCAACCAATCTGAAAAAAAAGCAATGAGCTCTGTTCTAATAAAAAGTGGTTAAATGTATTCCTATTTACAGTATGAGCTAGCATCATACAGAGCCTGTGGTAATGTCATTAACGAATCATTTTTAACTTGGAAAGACTCTGTTCCTTGTCATTTTCCTCCCCCAGTACAAACCATTGTTCCCATTGCCACATTAAAATTCCTCCTCCCAGTGCTGGGCTTTCATGTGTTCGGCTGATGGCTTGGCTAAAGCTTATGTGTATCCATCCATACACACTCGCACACACAAACGCAACCTCACACAGTCTGAAAATGTTCCCTAGCACACATATGCTATTCTGCAGAGCTAGTTTGGATAGATGCACTGAACTGTTTGCTGTTCTGAATGGACGCCCCACTATATGAGTCATGAAGACCACAGACTTTTACAATATATCATTAATAATATAGATTTAATAAATCAAATAGGAAAGACAGGCCTGAGAAATACTATATGTCTTTCTAGGATGCACTGTATTATGGTTTTACTATAATATCCTAATATAAGCATCTTATATATTTTATGATAGCAGTATTTTGGTGGAAATATTATAGATTCATAAATTATCTTTTGGGGGGCCATGATGAAAAGGCTTATTAAAGGGATAGTTATCCCAAAAATTCTGTAATCATTTACTTACCTTATCATTCTAAACATATATGACTTTCTTTCTTTTGTGAAACCAAAAATTAGACATTTTGAAAAAAAAAAAAAGTCAATACTTGGTTCTCATCCATACAGTAAAAGTCAGTGGAGTCCAATGTTGTTTGAAAGAAGAAAGAAAAATGCCTACAGGTTGAAAACAACAAGAAGGTGTGTAAATGATGTCAGAATGTTAATTTTTGTGTAAACTAAAAATCACATTTACTAGCTTAACCAGCAAGCCCCCCTTGCTCAACCAGTGTCACCATAAAGACGTTGTGCTATGATGAGCCACCAGCTAGAGAAACAACATATTAACATAAATCAAACAGTCCTGGTCTTGGCGGTTTTTTTTTTTGGTAACAGGTGAGTGAATCTACTACTACTCTTATTAAAAGTAAAGCAGTTGATGTCATCATTTCTAAATTTGGAATTAAAATCATTAGAAATAATATCAACATACCATAGACTTATTAAATAATACTCATACCAAGCTCTTATATTGAAATAATACATAGGCCTACACTATGCTCCAGATTATAGATTTATGGATTGGGCAGATTCATTTTATTTTGAAGTTTAACCGTAATATAAAAGTTTGTATGGGAAAGACCTGGCTGTCATAAATGACCAAACAAGACAGAGCATTGAAGACCCCTGGCAATAACAATGACAACACTGACTTGCTTCTGATTGGCTGCCAGGTGTGTCAGATGGCAAATGGAAAGCTTACTTGCTTTGGTCATAAATCTAAAGGATTCGTTGAGGACAGGGGTAGTTTTTAAATTGAATTTTATACCTAAACAGTAAGAAATAGACTGAAAAAAAAAAGAAAATTCTGTCATAATTTACTCACTGTTTTGTTTTTCCATTTTGCAGCTAGTTTACAGTAGTTTATGGTGCTTTTATTTTATTCATTTGGTTGTTTCTGAAGCATGCCAGTAGTCGAAATGAACAGTCATTGTATGAAAAAGAGTAGTGTGAATATTCTTTGAAAACTCTCCTGCAATTTTTTACAGAAAAAAAGCATACAGGTTTGGAACCACATGAGGTAAGTGATGTCAGAATCTTAATTTTTGGGTGATTTATCCCTTTAAGTGTAAGGCAGATAATCATTACATCATCTGCACATATTGCTACTCATAAATGCTCACACTACAGGTTGGCATTAGTTACCTGTCATTGCTCAAATTATGTGAAGGGACTGTTCGGCCTCTATCAGGCAACAGAGCGTATTTTCATCAAACTGCCCCAGTTTGACCCGCCGTGGCTGCATGTCAAACGTGGCAGCACAACAATGCACTTGTGCTGTAATCCGTCACCACTGTTAATTGTCTGAAGCCTTAAAGTACAGGTCTGTCCATACGATTCTATAAAAGTACTCAGACCCTTATAATTGAAATAAACAATATCTCCCAGTTAATTACTGGTCAGGCTAATTAAAGAAAGGCAGCGGTGCTGGGAGAGGAGTTTAAATATACCACTACGAGAGAGCTATGCAGGACACAATTCAAACAGGGAGAAAATAGATGGGACTCTGTGTAATTTTGGTTGTGAACCGCAGAGGAAAAAATGTATAATTGAAGCCAGAAATTATTCATTTAACAAAAACGCTTGCTTTAAAAACAAAAAGTATTCATTTGAGAGGAGAGTTCTCTCTCTCCCTCTCTCATTCTATCGCTCATTCTCTGCTCATTTTAGGAATAAACTGAAGTCAGTGCAGTTCTCCATAATGAAAGAATCTTGTTAGCATGTGTGAGTGAGTGTGGGAGCATCATTTCAGCCGTTTCCCTCTCCTTTTATTTTATCTGGCCTCATCTGAACTGATCGCTGTGAGGGTGTGTGGATTATATTGAGCCTAAACGGTTTGTTTTCCACTGCTGTCCTGTCCTCCTCTCTGTCCTTTTGATATTGTTTTACGACCGTACAGAGGTGACCGCTTGTGTTTCTGTGTTTAGCGGAGTAGCGTCTGGGACTTCCTCACAGATGTGGCGCCATTGTGTGGGCCAGACAGGACTATTTTGCCTTTCCAATCATAATGCCGCTTCTATCAGTTTGCATACTTGTTTAATTTTATAGCACAGAACGGTATTTTTGGAGGTTACGCAAATGGCTCGAGTCGGTGTGTGGGTAACATATTGATCTGTTTTTGGCTCTTCAAAGGAATCTCTAAAGGGTGCTTCGAGTGAATTTAAAGACACACTGTTGACCTACGCGTGACTCATGTTTTTTTCAGTTTTTGTTACTACTATACGTATATTTAGTTGTCAAAAAAAGAGAAAGGATGCTTATTTAACATTATTTTTGATGAATAACAAGCTGCAGTCACACACAAACACAACCACGCAGCATTTAATTAAAAAAACTACAATCACTACAAAAACGTAGCAGACATTTCATCAGCCTGACTTAAAATTATCATTTAATTAAAGGTTGAAATGTGGCCTTCAATTTTCGCTCTCTGTTTTCTGACAATACTTTCAATAAACTGCAGCACCATCAAATCGCACAACAAACTCGATTCTAGTCAGACGTACAGAGTGTGAACTGTGACTACAAACAATACATAAAAATGCCAAATGCTCAACCTATGAAGTAAATCGTGATGTCTTTTTTTACGGCGGATCAACATGAAGTAATGACTGTTTTAAATTTTCTTCATACTTCACAGAATACAAGTAAACTCTCAATCTTCTGGGAGATGACAATTTATGTGTACAACAATAAAGTAAAGCATTATATTGCTTCTTTGGCCCACACACTCATAAACATTCTCTGTATACACACACAAACACACACAGAAAATGAACGCATACTATGCGAGCACAAAGACCTCGAGCAGACACAAACATGCATTCCCACAAAGTTACCACATATGCACAAACACAGTTCACACGCATCTTTTGGTGATTCTTTGCCTCACCATTTCCTTTGTTCTTGTTTAATGAGATTTTCAGACGGTCTGTGATTCAGTTATGTTGAACAAATGCCCTTCCTCCTCAGTGTTCTCAGACACATTAGCCCAAAACAGTATATCCTCCTGTCAACATCTCAACAGCCGGACCTCCTCTCTGCACTCCATGCCACTCTAATCGCTCTGAACTGTAGAGGACTTGAGTACTAGCGTATTGCTTACTGCATACTGTGCAATATATACTGTACACTGCTTAACATACTGCCTGAAATATAAACGAAAGAGTATGCATTATGTAATGATTTCTAAGATTAATTGCATGGCATCCAGTTATATCAGAAATAAATACGATTATTTTGCATTTTCATACGTTTCATTTCATTAACATTAATTAATGCATTAGGTATTACAAACTAGCAATGAACAAAATTTTTACAGCATTTACAAATCTAGATTCATTTTAAACATTGGGATTTCAAGTAGAATACATTATTATGAGCTATATGAATGAAATTTGTGAAAAGATGCACATTTTAGTATACTTTAAATAATATAATTTAAAAGTGGGAAATAAATGTAAAGTTTTCAGATAGGCTACTTAATTGCATTTCATTGCTATTTAAATTGATATTTTGCAAATTAAACTGAAGTACATTTTATATGTAATTTCACAATTATTTTATTGTCTTTGAAATATGGTTAAATTGTAGTGCCAAATGTACTGACTAGCATTTATGATAAAAAACAATATACTTCAATATAATTTCTATTGAATGCAATTTAGCACATTAAAAAAATATTAATTTTAAATGTAACGTCAAATAAAACACTACAGATAAAATAAATAAATAATAATTATATTATAATCAAGTCCTTTGCTTTATTATGTTATTAAAAGATTATTAAAACAATGATGTAAAATGAACTTCACTTGTAAATGTACTTTAAAGTAAATGTTTTAATTTGACATCATTACACAGTGTTTTAAAAGTGTATTTAAGTGTGTTCGGAAAAAGTCATGAAAGTGTACTCTCTTTAAATACACTTAAGTTATACGCTCAAGAGGCCTTTTTTCCTTAAGATTATATTGCAGTTTTTCTTTTTTATACTTTTAAGATTTAAATTATGCCACTAAGTGCACATTCAATACAATTTAGCACAATTCTCTGTTAGACAATTCTCTTTTATTAGAAATATTTTGGCATCAACACATTTGGCAGCTTGTTAGTAAATCAAGATAAAATGTTGAAATACCTGATATTGTTCTAATTTGTCACACTGGAAATGGAAGGTCAAATTCTAGTAATTATTTTTATTTATTTTATTAACTTTCATTGAATATGTAAATTCATCAACTGTTTTGAACATACACTCTGAGTCTGGACCAATGTTGAACTCACCATGTGCCTGGGCTGCAGAACTGTGGGAGTATCCAAGGGCGAGAAGTGCAGCCTCAACCAGCTGAGTGAAGAGGATGTCTTTCCTGACCAGCACGAACTCGGCATGTTCCTCCCGACTCTCTCCATCTGATATCATCCCTCCATCCACCTGCTCCACCACACAGAAGACTGGAATCATCAGACCTGCAATACAGGAGAGCAACACGGCATAGAAATCATTAGAGAAACAATGGTCAAGAGAGAAGAGCTGAATTACTTAATTAATATTTGCTAAAATTAAAGTCCAATGACTGAGCTGATATTCTTCAAATGTGACTCAATTCCATACAGTTTTTTAAAATATTCCTGTATAAATCTCATTTGCAACTAAAGCGTGGCATTATTTTGAATAGTTGCCACGTGCTCTTCAGAAGAGAAGTGTTTTCATTAGAAATCATTAATGATTAATAGGTTCATTACTTGCATTTGAATAAGGTGGCCAGGATCAATCGCTTGTCTCAGGTTTCCCAGTCCAATGCAAATAGTCAACACGAACAAGCCGTTCAGATTGTGCATCAAACCAACCATCAAACCAGCTCCATTATGCTTGATTAAAGTTATCTTTTTTTTTATGGTGCCTCCCTTCACTTTGTCAGGGCAACTGAGCTGATATCTCCTCAAGTCAACGGACTGCGTGCTAACGGCTGGGTCCCTTAATAAAATTAGTTGCATGAGCCTCCAACGGATATGCAAACCTTTCTCCCTTCAGTGTTTGAGGTTACGGCTCATTGCGCTGTAACTTAACACATTATTTTAGTAGTGTTGACTTTGTTAACATTTTAGTTAAAAACATTTATGATTAACCTGTAAAATATGTTGGCAAGTGATTCTGTCGGTACAGAGTCCCGTCTTTTAATGGGATGTCGAGATGCATAGTCATTCACGGCTTGTTGAGAAATAGTACACGGTACCTAATGATGCATGAAAAACACACATCCCACCCAAGTTTCCTCTGGTTCATCTAGGCCTAACCTATGCGTTGTTTTTTTCAATTTCCCTGAAGTGCTCAAAAGCTTTCTGAATATTAATTAATACCCCTTAGAAATTATAGGCTGAAAGCATTAGGCAAAATCCCAGATGTACTAATAAGAGCAGAGCAGTACAAAACTCTCCACTAATTTATATACACACACACACACACACACTTCCATGCAAATACATATACATTCACGCACCGTTCCCCGAGCCCCTTGGTTTAATCAGTCAATTCCTATATTTCTATTTCCTTTCCATTAATCACCCTGGCTTCCAGTTCAGAATGCTCTTATGGAGTGAATTACAGGCCAGGGGCCGGTGCCAATTCAAGTAAGTGAATTTCCCCCAACAGGGAAATATAACTGTCAACACACAGCAGCTCCCAGCAGTCCCCCACTCTCTTTCTCTCTCTCTTTCTTCCGCTAGCTCCCATGGGCTCATCCCTGTACCCTGTATGAGCATGGTTTCATCATAAGATAACAGCATGTGTGTGAAGCCTGTGTGTGTGTTTCATTTCTGTGCAACGCTCACTCTGAGTAAGTCTTTGAGTCTCATTGATTATCTGTTTTAATGCGCATTAATGCCTGAACATTTTATTTAGAGTTATAAACTTTAACTCTAGTTTAAACTTTATATAAAGGTGTGACACTGCAGTTAAATAAAGCAACAATATTAAATATTTTGAAATATAGCAGTAAAGAACATATTGCAAGCAACAACAACAACAACAAAAATTGAATTTAAAAAATGAATTTTTTGTCTTGATTCCCAGAAAGAAAGCTAAACAGCAAAAAGAAAGTATAAAGATAACATTTTTGAATTAACATTATTACATAAAGCTTATTCCATTGGCAAACTGTTTTAAAATAATTTGCTGAAGGGGTAACATACAAATTTAATTAAAGCTATATTTCCTAAACACCAGTTTTAAAGCCTTTTTTGCAAGTAAATTCATCTTGTTTTAGATACTTGAGCTGGACAAAACGACAAAAAAAATTACATGATTTTTAAAATGATTTTTAGCATTACAGGCATATGTCGGAGTGATTCTGGTTCCATGTCTGTTTCGTGTGTGGCCCACTCTTCAGTGTTCCATTGTGGTTTGGAGAAGACTGTTTCAAGAAAACCTCTGATTAAAATTAACCATTTGGCCTATCTGCCAGTGCACAGGAAGAGAAAGCCCCGCTACTTTCCTCTTCTACCTATTCCAGAACATTTTTAAGAAATGTTTGTTGACTTAGATATTTTGTCAAATCAAATCTGCCTCAGAGGTGTACAGCTAGATACTCACACATACACACAATCACGAACAAACACACAGTATGTGTTGTTAACGTTTTGGCCTCTAAAAAAATCTAATCTATATCTGATATGTGGCTTTATGATTGGCTACACACATTGTTCACTGTCAAGGTGAATTACAGCTTGACCTTGGTGACTTTTTGGCCCAATGTGAGACATATAACACTTTTGATGAGGCTGTGTGTTACTGGACACAGACTGTATGTTTCATTAGAAAAAAATGTGCTACTGCTTTATTGTCAGGACTACATCATGTTAACTGTATGTGGGTCGTTGACATATTTGAAGCAGTAACAGCAGTATCCTGCAGTATGGTATGTTATATATCTAAAACTATAAAACAACACACAAACACACACACATACACTACCATTCAGAATTTTGGGGTTGGTATTCTATAATTATTCTTTTATGCTCACCAAAGCTGCATTTATTTGATCACAACACAGTCAAATCATCAATATTTTTAAATAATATATTTTAAAATCGAATATATTCAGCAGCCATTACGCCAGTCTTCAGTGTCACATGACCCTTCATTTTAATATACTTATTTGGTACTCAAGCAACATTTCCTATTATAGTCTATGTTGAAAACAGTTGTGCTGCTTAATATTTTTATGCTTTTTGCTTTTATCTATATATATTATGATTCATTTTACCAAAGGACAATTAAATGACCTTTGTTTCTTAGGAGAAATACAAGTAAAAACATATGAGATAACTGTTGATCATTTTGCCCAGATTTTGTTTCTAAGAAATATGATGCTTAATAAATGCAAGTCTCTACTTGAACACCAAATAAATAAACTTGCCTTAAAGAAAAAATTGCAATATCTGACTTGTCCTTTTTTTATGAAAACCTTGATGCTGAATTAAAAAAGTACATGCCCATGTTATGTGTCAACTACCCAAGTGTAAAAACACATTTAAAGATATTCAATAATCACAGCTGCGACCACACCACTGTATGTGGCAACTAGTTGGGGTCACTGTAATCAATATGACCCCCTTCTGACACACACTACTGTTGCAGTCAATAACTGGCCAAGGGGAATAAATCAGGTCTACTTAATTCACTGAGTTTATAGTGGCCACAACACTGCTCTGAGCAGAACTACAGTGGAGTATGGGATTAAATGGATTAAATCTTGCACTATTGGCAGCTCTTTTAATAATGTCAGATAAAATTAAGCACCAGGCTAAATGCATAGCTAGATGTGCAGTTTTGATGTTTATTAATTGTTTTAAGCTTTGACAATTATCTCACTAATTAAAAAAACAATATATTTATATATATATATATATATATATATAGCAGTGGTGTAGTGGTGTAGGTAATGGTTAGAATTTGTGCTCTAGGCACATTAAGCTGTGGTTCTAGTGTGTGGTCTTGCAGAAAAAAACATATATAATATAAATGTACGGACAGTAAAGGTTGTGAGTGTCTTACCACAGAGAGGTCTCTGTGGGGCCCCATTGTGGCGACTACGGTGACCTGTGGGACTGCCGTTGAGCTCCAGACGGCCCATCTTCGGTGGGGGGCCGCCGATATCAGGACTGCTGCTCCCACGTCGCTCGGGGCTCTCCCGTAAACGAGGGCTTTCTCCTCCGCCACGCTCCATCCCCCTCCACACTACAGGGTGAACACCAGCCAGAGGATAAGGACCTGAGACAAAGAGAGGGGGAGACAGAGACCTAATGAAATCTCAGAGAATATCAATGCATACACTTTCATAAGAACATCACTACTTGTATATTCAATAACAAAAATAATGAGTTGGAAAAACTATGGGAGGCTTAATTATATCACGATATAATACATAACAGTACATTGTTTTATTTGTTTTTTATATATCATGGTATAATAAAAAAAAATTATGCATATCTCTAAATTCTGGCCTGTCTAAATCATAAATCCCCCCACCCCCCAGAAAAAAAATGTGATCCTCATCATGAAAATGATAATCCAATAAAGCCTAAAGCGAATCAATTGAGATAAAATTTAAGTTAAGATAAAATTTTATTTAAGATAAAAAGAAAATTAGCAAAGGTCTAAATAACGAATTAAATTATATTAGCATTCTTCTTCAGAATTTTTTGATCATGAAACTCTCAAAACGAAGGATTCCCTGTTGTTGACTCTTACACAAACCGAACAAATGGGGCTAACAGACAACAACAAAATGACATCAAACTCTATGTCCTAAAATACAGATAATTGTTTAAGAGGACGCTGGCATTTTATCAACACTATCAGCAAACAAAAAAACAGAAGCCCAGTGTCTCGTTCTGCTCCAGCATCTGGGGAATGTAAACTAATGTGTATGTGTATGTGCATTTAAATGTGTGTGCAGCCAAAATGACAGACCTCTAGGCAAATACGAAAGCAAAGATGCTCAAAATGTTTCCATGAATTATTAAGTTACTTTAAGTTGTTCAAATGATATCTCTGTGTGCATGCATGCAAATATAGTATTTCTGAATGCACATAGCGCTCCATTGGGACAACTTTCAGGGGTCTTTGTTTTTCAGCCAAACCTTTAATATTGGTAATGTCCATCAGAGTCAGTGCCAGGCTGTATTGAGCCCATGCCAAAATGTAAAGACTAGGAACAAACTCCCCACTGGAGTGTTTTTATTTGCATATTACTTCCTAAATACAGAGGGATATGGATGGATGGATGGATGGATGGATGGATAGATAGATAGATAGATAGATAGATAGATAGATTTCCGTGTCCACCCTCGCTGCGATTCTTCTTACAGTGGTTATGCAGAAAACATTATTCTTTTCGCTCTGGCCCTGACGAGAAAAACATCATCATGGAACATAAAAAAGTCCAAAGAGAATTACAAGCTGGAGCTAAATTTTCAAAATGAATAATAAATTAAAAACATTAGCCTCTGCGTGATTAAAAACCTAACGCAGGTCCAGAAATCAAGTGTCTGAATTCTTTAGAGTTTAATTAGCGGGTGGGAGGAAAAACACTTTAAGAGCATTTGAATGGAAAGAAATGTGTTAGTGTGCTGCTGAGGGAACAAGAACTGATGGTCCACACTGTACTCACACACACACACACACACACACACACACACACACACACACACACACACACACACACACACACACAGAGGAAAGAGATTTACAGAGCCTATGAGACAGTTTAATAGAGCTCAAGTGTGAACAATACACTACAACAATGGACATGCATGCTTATGAAAACACATTCGCATGTACTGTATATATAAAATTAATAGCACCCATTAAACACAGCTTTCCAATTAAAACTGATATTCCCTCAGTGTACATGCAGCTATTATTTCTCATTTCTCTTGTGCTAGTCATGTCAAAGTTTTCAAAATGGATCAAAGTTTGAATATACCGCACTTCAGAAAACAATAAGAGAATAAGGTCCTAAAATATAACAGATACAACCCACTGCTATGTGTAAAATCACTGTGATCCACTTTAACTGTATGAGGCGAACAGATCTGCATTTAATTAACAGTTCGTCTATGATGCGGGCTTGCCCATTAAACTTGCAGTCACAGGGGTAAAATAAAATCTCTTCACAAAAAGTGTCTCGAGATGTTTCAGATACTTGCACGGAACCAAGCGAGAAATCTGACGGATGAAACCGCAAACGGACAAAATGGCCATTGTACTTGATGAGTTCATTGCCATCAGTGACGCTGAGAGCTTTTCATCTGTTTGCCTGCAAGTCGCACTGTATTACCAACCCTTAAAATCTTTTATCGGTGTTAGTTCATCTGGCACTGATGGGTTGTCTTTGTTACCTCCTTCACTGGGCTTCACAGGTCTAAACCTGCCTGATTTTAATGAGTCTTCCGATCCCAATCAAGACCTTTTCTGAATCGTTTCTCCCATCTCTGTGCCAATCTCTCTTGCTCTCTCTCTGTCTTTCTGATCCTCCTCCACCCCGGCAAATATTTGATGGGGAGATAAAACCAGCTCCAGTGTGTCTGCCCGTCACTCACGTATGGAGATGGCAGTGGCTATGCAAAGAAAGTGCTGTAAAATCTTCTTCTGGTCAATACACACCTGCTGTAGCAAATCAATACAAGCCTATGGAAGAGGCACTCTTACAGTTATGATACACTACTTTGGATACTTTTGCAACAAACTACTGTGATTCAAGGTTTAGGAATTCATGAACTCAAATGCGAGGTGAAAGAGATTGTGTGATTATGCTGGTAAAAGCTCTGTAATTCAGCACCACAAGATCTCATCCAGATTTTGCTGAGCTAATGGTGAGACGGCTTCATCAAAGCTTTTTCAACAGAGAGTGTATTCCTCTATTTCATCAACAGACTGGAAGAAAATGACTGAATGACTAATTTATTTATTTCTAAATTAAAACGAACCATTAGAAGATTATAAAGCATAAATGGGACAGTTATTAATAAAAGAACACTGCCACTGTAATTTCAATTTCAATTCATCACATGAATTACATTAGGTTATTAAAGGGAGAGTTCACCCAAAAATGAGCATACTGTCATAGTTTATTTACCCTCTTTTTTGTAGAACACAAAATAAGATATATTGAAAATGTTGATGTTGTTGTTGTTGTTTTCATTCTTTTTTATTCTCCACAGAAGGAAAAAAGTCATGCAAGTTTGGCACAACATGAAGGTATGTAAATGATGACGGAGTTTAATTTAATTTACAGTCATCATAAAAGTGTGATTGGACTTGTTTAATCCCTGTCCTTACAACTGTTCAACACCAACTAGAAATAGACATAAATGTCTAATCAGTTCAAGTTATCAAGAATAATCAACAAAGATTATGAAGATAAAAATATGAAAGCAAGATCTTTATTCAAAATTAAGAAATTGCTTACAGTAAGGCGATTAATAGCAGGAAGAACTATGAAATATAGGTTATAGCATTTAAAATAGTACAGCTATTTTATAGCTATGCTAATAAAAAGCATGCATACTAACCAGCCCACTTGACAAATGTCACGCAACATGGAACTGAAAGATACCCAGCACCTTACATTTGAGTGTTGTACCAATAGCTATTCACAACCAGATACACGGTTCCATTTTTATTTGTAATGCTTGCAGCCACACATTACAAACATAACTAATCACTGTTATGTTTAGGGGTAGATGAGAGAAGCCAGACGAGGGAATGGAACAGAACTCCGATCCCGTGAGACTCAAATTTCCAAACTACGACGACCACACTGCAGAGACTCTCTCCTAAGCATGCGATATACGTTTTCTGCTAACCCTCCTCTCCCTTCCACATTGCACTCTTTTCTTTGGCAATGAGAGTGGCCTCTGCCAGTTGTACCACACACAGGAAACTGAGGGCAGTAAACGACACACTGCTGATCTGACTATACTCACACTGTCAGTCAGTATACACAGAGAAGAGAATGATATTGAGAGGCGCCGAGAAAAAAGGCAGAAGGTCGGGAAAAAAGAAGGAGAAATGTTGACTACAAAGATAACATAAAAAGCAATTTCAAAAATTAGGTATGGAAAAGACTGTTTGGCAGGACAAGAGTGTCCAATTTCTCGCTCGTTTCCAACTCAGAGTAATAAAAGCCCTTTACCCGACAACAATTAATAACAACTAATAGGGACACGCATGCAAATGAGCGATGAGATAAAGCCGTGTGTTGTTCAGAACCTGGTGGTATCATGGTATCTTTGTGTTGACGACATGTTAAGGCGTTAACCTTATTGACCAGGGAATAGGGCTGTGATACTCATTTATTGCAGGGTTATTAAAGCATCGGCTCAGTCAGGGTACAGATAAAGCAGGTGAAGATGGTTGAGGGATTCGTATTGAAGGCCCCTCGGTGTCTCACAGGTGTGTGCGTTGGGAAGGGAAGAATACATAGATAGCAGCTTATCACCCATGAATTTGATGGCAGATCAAACTGTAACCAAGACAGATGATTACACTGGAAATGTACATAGTAAGACAAGCTCAATACTGAGACTTCCTTGGATGTAGGAGTAAAAAAAAAAATATATATATATATACTGTATATATATATATACACACACACACACACACACACACACATATATATATATATATATGTGTGTGTGTGTGTGTGTGTATAGATAGATAGATAGATAGATCTTATGATTACATGAAATAAAAAGTCATGTCATGTTAGATAGAAGGGAATAAGTGTTCATAAGATATTACTGAATTGAGAAAAAGTGGCAAATACAGTTGCCATAATGTGGGTGTGTGCAAATATACTGGACATGTGTGGAGAATATGTTGATTCAGGGATCTTCCGGGAAGCACGTTTAGTTTGCTAATAAACATCTTAAACAGTAAAAGATAAAGAGTGAGCAGCAGTTTATTATGTTCTCCCTAAATCCCTTGCTCTCTGACTCGCACATAGACAAAAATGGACAAACACAAGTGTACACAAACACTCAACACAGAAACCACAGAGCAGGCTCACTGCTCTGACACTTCCAGGGACCACACATTGACTCACAAAAATCCCACATGGTAGACTACACTGAGCAGGGCTATAAAACACACATGAACACACACACACACACACACACACACACACACACACACAGAGTCTGTGACTGCGGTCTGGATTTAGGTATGTAGTGTTAAATGGTTTGATAATATATATAAATATATAT